CCCCTCCCGCTGCCTTGCTGTTAGAATGGAGTGTTTAGAAGGGTTCCAGTGCATGCCCGAGCCCTCCCTTCGCCCCCCGCCCCCCCCGCACCCCCGCTCCCCCCGCCCTTCCCAACCCCCTCCACTGGACTGGCGTGTTTGGAAAAAAGGGCTCCAGTGCATGCCCGAGCCCTCCCTTCGGCGCTCCCCCGCCCCCCCCCGCCCCCCCGCTCCCCCCGCCCTTCCCTGTTAGAATGGAGTGTTTTTAAGGGCTGCCGTGCATGCTCGAGCCCTCCCTTCGCTGCCCCCGCCCCCCCCGCCCTTCCCACCCGCTGCCTTGCTGTCAGACTGGCGTGTTTTAAGGGCTCCAGTGCATGCCCCACTCCCACCCACCCCTCCCCGCTGCCTTGCTGTTAGTGTTTTTAAGGGCTCCAGTGCATGCCCGACCTTCGCTGCCCCCGGCCCTCCCGCCCCGCTCCCCCCACTCCCCCCGCCCTTCCCACCCCCGCCGACCCCCTCGCTGGACTGGCGTGTTTTAAGGGCTCCAGTGCATGCCCCACTCCTGCCCACCCCTTCCGCTGCCTTGCTGTTAGAATGGAGTGTTGTTAAGGGCTTCAGTGCATGCCCGAGCCCTCCTTCGCTGCCACCGCCCCCCCCGCCCTTCCCGCCCCCGCTCCCACCCCCAACTGGACTGGCGTGTTTAAGGGCTCCAGTGCATGCCCCACTCCTGCCCACCCCTCCCACTGCCTTGCTGTTAGAATGGAGTGTTTTTAAGGGCACCTCCCTTCGCTGCCCCCGCCCCCCCCGCCCCCCCCGCACCCCCCCCGCTCCCCCCGCCCTTCCCTGTTAGAATGGAGTGTTTTTAAGGGCTCCAGCGCATGCCCGAGCCCTCCCTTCGCTGCCCCCGCCCCGCTCCCCCCGCCCTTCCCACCCGCTGCCTTGCTGTCAGACTGGCGTGTTTTAAGGGCTCCAGTGCATGCCCCACTCCTGCCCACCCCTCCCGCTGCCTTGCTTTAAATGGAGTGTTTTTTTTAAGGGCTCGCACTGCAAGAGTGATGCCCGAACCTCCTTCGCGCCCCCCCCGCCCCCCCGCTCCCCCCACGCCCCCCGCCCCTTCCCCCCCGCCGACCCCCTCCGCTGTAAGGGCTCCAGTGCATGCCCCACTCCTGCCCACCCCTCCCGCTGCCTTGCTGTTAGAATGGAGTGTTTTTAAGGGCTCCGGTGCATGCCCCGCTTCCCCCGCCGGCTTTCCCATGCCTTCGAAGCTAACTCACGCCTCACCCCTGCCCCTAACCTGGAAATGAAGTGTTTTAAGGGCTCCAGTGCATGCCCAAGCCCCCCGCTGCCCCCGCTGCCCCCGCTGCCCCCGCTGCCCCCGCTGCCCCCGCTGCCCCCGCCCCCCCCGCTGCCCCACCCCTTACCCGCCCACCGCTGCCCTTGCTGCCCTCGCACTGTCCCCAGAAGTGTTTTGAGGGCTCCAGCGCATGCCCGACCGCCGCCCTTTGTTGCCCCCGATTGCCCCCGCCCGCTGCCC